GGGGGGGGGGGGGGGAGGCTGTTGTACAAATTTTTTGGAATCCAAGCCCTTCAATACCGGTGGTGCCCCCGAGATATAATCAACCCTGGAGTTATAAGTTTATACTTTTTTGTCATTTTCTTCAATCCTCTTTTCTCCTTACTCAATTCGTTTTGTCAGTTCCCCTAACAACTTAATAATTTCGGGATTAGTCAGTCCCCGATTCTTGTTCATTTGATCTTACTACAGCTGGCCCTATTTAGTGGGTGACTTCTTGTGGTGGACCGGGCTCTGCTCTGCTCGGTGCCTGAGTTTGGCTCTGCAACTGAGCTATTGGTACATGTTGAGCTTGCAACATTTTGAAAATTATACGCAGGTTGATCCCATCTTCTCCAACATTTTGGATTTTTCGAACTGAAGATCGAATTCCACCATGAATGTTGTTTTCGGGATTGGAACGTTGGTTCGCCTCGATGGCCACATGTGAATTAACGTCAATGGGATCTTCGGTTGTTGTTCTCATCTTGAATGCTAGCTTCGTTGTCGATAGGTAGGGCCATTAATTGAGAGTTCGTCGTTTTGAGCCTGAAATCGCAGACACTTCCAAGAGCAAGTGTAAAAAAGGTGTGTTTTCTAGAGATTCGTACCAAATAACCACTGTTATCCTTAGCCCCACAGTAGGCACCAATCTATTTACCCAAAAAATAGATTGAGTTAAATTTATACGTAGTCCTAAGGATACTTGGTATAAATTGGTACGAATCGGAAAGGTAAGTAGAAAAATATCGAATATTAACTGTAAAAAAAATAAATACAAACCCAAATTGAGTAGAGAATGATTGATAAATGAACAAGATGAATCAAAAGCCCAAAAAATGATATTTGCTAGATGTTATATAAATCTCAATAATCCCTAAAGGCAAGAGTGTATGAATATATGTCAATCCGTGAATCAATGAATCCCCTTTACAAATGATAGCCATTCTTAATATAGTAGAGGACTCCTACTTTGGATATAATTAAAAATATATAGTGGGGATCCCATGATAAATTAATTAACTAGTTTTTCCTTGATTTCCGCCGAGATTCTCTTCCCTAGTGCGGTTATAACGACTCTTTGTCTCTTGACTAGATTTCGGTTTTGGCTGATCTCGATGTTGGTCGGTTCCTTTACCCTCGACCCTTGATATTGACTCGAGCTCGGTATCAGTCGGTCTCTAGGTCCCGAGCTTGACACTGACTTGAGCTCGACGTCGGTCGGTCTCTCAACACAACTTGATATTATAATAAAGACCCTTGGTCCATCATGTTCCAATCTTGATTAAACACACGAAGGGCAAACTCGGTTTTGACCGTATACAATATTGTCTTGGCATATATAGTGGCTTGATTTGTTAAAGCATATGCTGGTAGAATCAGAGTGGTGGAGAAGTAAGACAATACCAAGCGTAGAAGAGTATCTATCTGTTGCCTGTGTAAGTATCGGTGTTAGATGCGTTGTTCTCATAACACAATATCTTATTGTGCCAAAATTGTCCAAGGATTTCGCAGAAAGTTCTAAGATCAGTGTCTTATGGAAGTCTACAGCTAACTATTGGCTGACTCCTTAATAACATACATAGTTACAAGGTAATATTAATTCCTTTTGAGACTATTAATATTTTCTCTTTTGCTCATCGAGAAAATAGTTGTCATGTTGTTGGATAGTCATTTTGTACCATAACGAAAATTTGTCTCACCTGGACATAATTGATCGTTACTTTACCCAAAGCAAAACTTACCTAAATTATTAAAAGATTATTTTATCAAATTTCGACTACTGATTGTGGAAGATCTTTTTTCAATATATTGAAAATAAAACTAGCAAAAACAGAAACTGAGAAGCTCTGCTTGTGCATGTTAGACAAGGCTTGTTAATGTGCGCCACCACCTATGGCTCGGCAGAATAAGAAAACTCCGGCGACGTCATCTCCTCCCACAACACACAAAGAATCTAATAGACTAATTACACCAACAAATGGAGTCCCTCAGGACCTAGGTCCACGACAATTTGGTCAATGGTTGACAGGGATGGGTAGTGCTCCAACGGTATTGCAAGTTGTGCCATCGGTTGAATCTGCCACCCCTGAAGGACAAGATAAAGGTACCTCCTCAGCGGCAAGGAAACTTACCTTCTCTATTGTATCGAGGGCAGAAAAACCTATGGTGGCTGATATTGTCAAAGGTAACAGATCTCAGCAATTAGGTTTGAAACTTGACTATTTTCCTCCAGTTTTGAAAGAGGGCTGAAGACAGTCCAATTAGTTCAGGTGGAGGTTGAAGAACAGTGTCATAAATAGAAATCAGCATTAATAGGCTACATCATTGGGAGAAACCCTTCTTTCAAAGAAATACTGAAATTTGTATATGGAGTATGGAATTTTGTCACAACTCCTTAGGTATTCTTATATAATGAGGGCTATTTAATATTTTGATTCACATCTGAGGAAGAGAAGGTAACCTTGCTACAAAATGGACCACACACATTTAACAACAGACCAATGGTTCTTAAGCAGTGGAGCCAGATTTCCAGATGAGAAAGTAACCTCTCCAAGCTATTCCTGTGTGGGTGACGTTTACCAATCTGGTTATTGAATACTGAGCACCAAGAAGCCTAGGTAGGATAGCTAGCTATTTGGGAAGCCTATATTTGCGGATAAACTTACAACCAAAGGCGATAGAGTCTCTTATACACATATTCTAATTGAGATGGATATCTCACTGGCACTCCTAGAGGAGATACCAATCGAATTACCAGGAGGCAAGTGTAAACGGCAGACTATTGAATATGAATGAAAGCCCTTATATTATTAGACCTACCTCAACATAGGGCATCACAATGGTGATTGCAAGAATATAATGCAAACGGATAAAAGGAAGCAACGGTTAAACAGGAAGAAACAAACGATGGATTGCAAAGTGAAAACAGGAGCTGAAACTCAAGGACCTATCAAGCTTACAGACCCAGTCACATCTGCTGAACAACATACTGAACTAGTTTTACCAAAGGAGTTAGGAGAACCAACTGATATACTAGATACAACAGAACAACTAGAAGCTATGGAATAACAGGTGCAATAGGCTAAGAGTAGGGGAAAGAAAAAGTTGGCTATCATCCAAGAATAGGAGGGACAAAGTCAGCTATATGAGAATAGTGAGAAGATTGAAAGGCTATTAAGGCAGAATCAATTCAGTACTTTGAGAATTCAACCAATGATAGTCACCCCAAAATTGACAAAGGATCTCAGTCCTCAAAGGGAGAACCCTCCACGATCTTCTGTTCTGGGAATATAAGGGGGCTAAACAAGCCCGTTAAGCAGAAAGAACTAAAGATAATTTTGCTTACAAAAAAGGTAGTACTAATAGGCTTTCTTGAGACCAAAGTTAGAGCCCACAAGGCTCAGAAAGTTAAGAAGAAATTGGGGAAAGAATTTGAAGTAGCTACATATTATACTCAGACCCCAAATGATAGAATTTGGATATGTTGGAGGCCTCAACAGGTGGAGGTGCACGCATTAACATCTAGGCCACAATTTGTACATTGCTTAGTTAAATACAAGGGGTTGTACATTGCTTAGTTAAATACAAGGGGTCTCCAATTGCTAGCCAGATAAAATTTGTCTATGGGGAAAGAATTTGAAGTAGCTACATATTATACTAAGATCCCAAATGGTAGAATTTGGATATGTTGGAGGCCTCAACGGGTGGAGGTGTACACATTAACATCTAGGCCACAATTTGTACATTGCTTAGTTAAAGACAAGGGGTCTCCATTTGCTAGCCAGATAATATTTTTCTATGGATTGAATACTATAAATGAAAGAAAGTCCCTCTAGGAAGGACTGAGAGCACTGAATTATACTATAACTGAACCCTGGGTTGTATTAGGGGAGTTTAACACTATACTCTCAGTAAATGACAGGCAGAATGGAATTCCAGTACATCCAGCTGATGTTAAGGATTTTCAAGAATGCATTAAAGATATAGGACTTGGGCAACTAAAAAGAACAGGTTGTCAATTCTCATGGAACAACAAAAGAGATAAACAGGTCAGAATACACAGCCTAATCGATTGGGAATTTGGGAATGTTAACTAGTTTGCTAGATATGGCCACCTGGAAACAGTCTATCACAACCCATGATGCTCAGACTACTCACCAATCCTGGTTAGCACTGGGAGAGTCAAGCAATTGCTTCCTAGACCACTCAGATTACTTAATGTCCTTCTTCAAGAGCAGGCGTCCAAGGAAGTAACTCAGTCTATATGGCAACAAAACATTCCTGGATACACTATGTATGGAGTATTTAAAAAGCTTAAACTTATTGAGCTTAACACAAAACATCTTCATAGAGATAAAAGAATTGAGGCTATTCGAGAAAAAGTTACAGAACATACAACAACTGCTGAAATTAGACCTTTACAACCCCAACTTAATAAAGGATGAGAGAGGACTGATAATGGGAAAATGGTCCAATATACACGAGGGTGTACTGAGGCAGAAGTCCAGGGCTGTATGGTTAGCAAAAGGGGACTTGAACTCCAAATTCTTCCATGCACAACTGAAGGAAAGACAGGGAACGAATCATATCTCATTAATATGTAATGATCAGGGAATAATGATAACTGATCATGTACACGTTCAACAAGAGTTCATGAACTTCTTCCATGACCTATTGGGTACTAATGCTAGTGAAATGCCATGACTAAATAGTACCATAGAAAAGGATGGATACTGTCTCAATAAGGAGGATCAACAAAATCTGATCAAACCAGTGTTGAAAAAGGAAATACTACAGGCTTTGAATGATTTGCCCGCTGACAAAGCCCCGAGGGGGGGAGGGGGGATAGGTTCACCGTTGAATTTTTCAAATCCAATTGGGACACCGTTGGGGAGGAGGTTAGTAATGTTGTACTGCAATTCTTTGAGATTGGTAAAATCCTCAAAGAGATCAACTGCACAACCATTACTCTAGTGCCTAAAGTCCCAAATCCTACCTATTTCAAGGAATTTAGGCCTATTGCATGTTGTACAATACTGTATAAACTGATAGCCAATGTAATCACTGCCAGACTTAAACTAGTGGTGGACAAAATGGTGGGGCCATCGCAATCAGCTTTTATAAACTAGTCGAAGGATATAATAGAAAAGGAATGTCCCCCATGTCATTTGGACAAAATCATTCAGGTCCATCCAAGGTAAAAGAATGGAATTACAAGCTTGGACACCCAATTTCAATCCAAATGAGGATAATCATATTATTCCTATTTGGATAGTTATTCCAGAACTTCCCTGGAATTTCTACTATAGGGAAGTACTGTCAGTACTTTTATCACCTATTGGTAAGGTGCTCCATCTAGACTTAGCTTCAATGCAAAAAATAAGGAGAAGTGTTGCAAAAGTCAAGATGCAGGTGGGTTTGACTAAGGACAAGGCTCATCATGTTTGGCTGGGATTTGATAAAGATCAGGATGTGAATGGGGAAGGCCAGTGGCTAGAAGTAGTATATGAAGATCTACCATATTATTGCTTATACTACAGACACTTGGTTCATGAAGAGTACAAATGCAATATTAGAAAAAGGGAAGAACAAGAAAAGAAGAACGCAGCAACAACAAAAGCAACAACTCACAATGCTAATAATCACCTTACAAACAAGCTAAAGGGAGAAACTGCAACACCACATGAGCAAATGGTACAGAGACAACAAAATTATCAGACTTCCAACCAAAAAATAGAGGAACAATGCAAAATTGAGGAGCAACAAGGAATAATAAATCACAAAGTAATTGCGCAACAAACAAAAAAGGATAACCATTCCAACAATCAATGGCAATTTCAAAAAAAGAAGAATTTCAAGGGAATCAACCAGAAAAACAAGCAACACAAACAGAAACATCCACAACAACAAGCTCTTGAGACACAGTTATCCAGACCCTCCCAGCCCTCAGGTGTAATGAACAAGTCACAATGTGCTCCACCAAAGCCACTCGAGATACCAGAGGCCATTCATAATACTGCTTATAGTGCCGATGCTTGTAATGGAGGACAGATTTGTGCACATGAACCACCTAATGAGATATGGCACTTTACTGGAATAAAAACTCCTCAGATAATTCATGAGTCTACTTAGGTAGGTGGTAGCACTAGCATAGTAAACCTACCATCCACTACTGCAAATCATGCTAGCACACAAAAAAATGGGGATGCTGGAATTGTCAATAATGTGACTTCTGAATCTAATAGTGAGGGCAGGGACAAGCTCAGAGAACAACATCAGAAGCATCAAAGTTTGGAATATCCAGATAACCAACATCTAAGAACTGCTGAAAAATCAAATTCCAATCCTAAAGCTGCAGAGCTTACCAGAAACTCTATCTCTACTAATACTGGGCAGAATGCTTTAGGGACAAATTAAAATACTATTGACTTTGTTCAAAGGAGCTTTGGAATGCATAAGGAAACACTTAATTTCACTCTCAACCACTCATGTCAAGAAATACCATCTCAGAATTTGTGGACTCACCTAATTCAAATGGAAAAACTACATGCTCTATACAACTGGGGAGAGGTGAAGTAAGTTCAAAGGAACATACAAGACTAAGATTAGATGATCAAAGAGTTAATTCAATGCCAGCACAAGTTAATATAGAAGTATCCAGGAAGTCTTTGGACAACAACAAAATTGAGGAACTAGTAGCCAACGTTGAAGGTGCAATGGTAATATTACCAGACAGGGAACAAGTAAGTAATGCTGATGCAGAGACAGATCACCAGATACTTAGGTCATCCTCTCAAAATGTAGATGGGAAAGATCCAACAATTGTGTATGATCAGGTAGGGTCAGCCATAATTCCTAGGGAGTCAACAACAATTGATACACTGCTTATGGCAATTGCATCAGCCACTGGATCTCCAGTGCATATTCAAATCAATATACCACTGCAATCTCCTGCTTAGTTTATGCATGACATTATTGCACACAAGGAACTGCCTTTGGAAATTCATGAAGCCTTGGGCACAAATGAACAACTAGAAGATGAAGGTGCTGATGAATCTACAATTGTGAATTTCAAGTCTGTGGCAAGAGAAGGAGATTTGTCACCTAGGACTGTAGGTAAACATGGTAAGAAAGGAAAAAAGAAAACCCATCACAAGGAACAACAACCTCCTACAATAATATGGAACATAAGGTCTGTTAAAACTCACCAAACCTTTCAGAGAGTTATCAACATGCAAAGGGAACATGTTTCTTTTATTATAGCACTCATGGAGCCTTTCCAAAAGCAGAGGCTTATTAAGAACTATAGGATGATACTAGGCATGGAACCAGCAATATCTAATATCAATGGAAAGATATGGATATTTCTTGATGTTGTGGTCCAATGGGATATGGTGATTAACACGGACCAGCAACTTACTATTATGGTTTATCATCAAGATATTGAGAAGCACATCATGATGACCATTGTATATGCAAAGTGTTCATCCCTAGAAAGATTAGAATTATAGGATAATCTATACTACCTTGCTAGAGACATGGAATTACCTTAGGTGGTTGGGGGCACTTCAATGTGATTCTTAATGAAGAAGAGAAGATTGGTGGACTTCCAGTTTACCCTCCAGAATATAAAAATTTTGCCTTTTGTGTAAACTCTTGTGGACTATTTGACATGGGGTATAAAGGAAGTCCATTCACATAGTGGAATAGGAGACCAAACTCAGAATGCATATTCAAAAGGTTTGATATAATTTTTGTCAATGTGCCATTACAAACTTTATTCCCTAGTACAGAAGTGGAGCACCACATCAGAACAGGTTCTGACCATACACCACTACTGTTGAGTAGTGGTAAGCAGACCACTCAAATTGCCAAACTTTTCAAATTTCGGAATTTATGGACAAAACATGCCTCTTTTATAGAGGTAGATAGACAGAATTGGCTGGCTGATTTCACAGGTGACCCCTTCTTGATGTTCAAACAGAAACTAAAAAGAGTTAAGATTGCTCTTTCAAAATGAAGCAAGCTCACTTATGGGGATATCTTTAAACAATTAGCTTTAAGAGAAGATGTGGTCAGAGTAAAGAAAATGCTATTTGAAGAAGAACTAATAGTAGAGAATAGAATTATACTTCAGAAAGTACAATCTGAGTTAAAGAGATTTCTAAGCATAGAGGAGCAATATTGGAAATAAAAAGTTGGAATGTCCTGGTTTGCATAAGGAGACAGAAATACTAGATTTTTCCACAACTATGTCAATGGTAAAAGGCAAAAGCTCCAATTGAAGAGAATCCAGAATCATAATAGTGCTTGGATTGAGTCAACAGATCAGCTAGCTGATGCAACAATAGAATTTTACCAGAAGCAGTTTACACAAGAAGATGGCCCTACATGCTCTGAGCTCCTAAACAATGTACTTCCAATGGTGTCTAGTTATCAGAACTTAGAGCTTTGTAGAATTCCTACAATTGAGGAGGTAAAGGCAGCAGTATTTGCATTGAGTGGGAGAATACAGGTAGTCCAGATAGTTTCACAGGTATTTTCTTTCAAGAATGTTGGGATGTAATAGGGGAAGATATACATGAGATGCTGAAACTGTTTTATGGAGGAAGTCTTTTGCCTAAGTCTATAACGCACACAAACCTTGTCTTGCTGCCAAAAAAACACAGGTTCAAACATTCACGGATCTCAGACTTATAAGCTTAAGCAATTTTATCAATAAAGTGATATCTAGAGTTGTTCATGATAGGCTGGAAAAGATGCTGCCTTCTTTGATCTCTTTCATCCAATCAGGATTTATCAAGGGAAGAAGTATATTTGAAAACATCTTATTAACTCAGGAGATTGTTACTGACATAAGGTTAAGGGGAAAACCTGCCAATGTAGTTATCAAACTTGACATGGCAAAGGCATAAGATAGGGTCTCTTGGAAGTATTTAATGCATGTTTTGAGAAAAATGGGATTTGCATAATGCTTCATCAACATGGTGTGGAATCTACTATCCAATAACTGGTATTCTGTGCTGATTAATGGTCAAGCTTCAGGTTTCTTTCACTCAGCAAGAGGTGTCAAGCAAGGGGATCCTCTCTCCCCAGCCCTATTCATACTCTTTGCAGAGGTACTATCTAGGTATTTAAATAAGCTATTTGAAGACAAGATATTCAAGGCTTTGGCATGCCCAAGTGGACTAATCCATTGAATCATTTAGCCTACGCAGATGACACTAAAATCTTTGCTTCGGCTGATCTATACTCTTTAGAGAAGATTATAGATGTCTTATACAAGTACGAGCACACTTCTGGCCAAATGATCGACAAGACAAAGAGTTCCTTTTATATGTACTCTATTGTGTCTACAAGATTGTTCAACTCTGTAGGTGTTATTATTGGATTCTCAAGGGGTGAGTTTCCATTCACTTATCTTGACAGTCTAATATTCTACAAAAGAAGAAGGAAAGATTATTACAATGGCTTGATTAAAAATGTGAAGGCAAAACTGCACACTTGGAAAGGGAAGCTAGTGTCCTTTGGGGGAAAAGCTACATTAATCACTAGTGTACTACAAAGCATGCCTACACACATCCTTTCTGTCCTTGATCCACCTAAAAATGTACTTGAACACCTTCATAAAACCTTTGCTTGGTTCTTCTGGAGTAACAAGGATGAGGTAGAAGTAGACATAGGGCAAAATGGCAAAATATTTGCCTACCAAAGAAAGAAGGGGGAGTAGGTTTTAGATCTCTGCATGATGTCTCTAGAGCTTTATTTGCCAAATTGTGGTGGAAGTTTAGGACATTGAAGTCCTTATGGTCTAATTTCATGTGGAACAAATACTGTAAAAAAGAGCTTCCAATAGTGGTCAAATTTAGAGGGGGATCTCATGTATGGAGGAAAATGTTAAAGGCCAGGGAAGAGGTGGAGCATTAAATATTATGGGAAATGAAATGGGGATCAACTAACGTTTGGCATGAGAATTGGACCGGACTAGGAGCTTTGTACCATGTTGTTACAAGAGACTACCCAATCAATGAAGATATACAGGAAGTAGATGACTTGAGAGTGGATGATGCCTGGGATGAGAAACTCCTGGATCAGTCTTTTCCTATAGATATTGCTCAACATATCAGACAGGAAGTTCTATTTGACATTAGTGACGATGGCTGGGATTTTTCTAGATGGATGCCTACACTTTCAGGAAATTTTTCTGTTAGTAGTGCTTGGAAATTTCTAAGGCATAGAGCACCTATTAATCCTGATTACAGTAAGATGTGGACTCAATGTTTACCATTTAATATCTCCTTATTTCTCCTTATTTCTATGGAGATTGTAGAAAGGGAAGATTCCCACAGATGACTTGTGGAGGAGAGGTGAGTATATGATAGTGTCCAAGTGTTGGTGCTGCGCACAACCACAAGAAGACTCATTCCAACATTTATTCTTAAAGAGTGAAACTGAGGTATGGAAAATTTTCCTTCAGGCAGCAGGGTTGGTAGTAAATCTGATACAGGTTCATCAAGTAATAAGAGCATGGTGGAATACACAATGTTGTCCTAAACTAAAGCTATTATTTCAAGCAGTTTCAGCAGTGATCACATGGGAACTTTGGAAGAATAGATATACAATGAAATATGAAGGTGCAATATCCTGTAATAGGGTACTTCATGAGGTGAACAAAACACTATATTACCTAGCAAGAGTGAGGTATCCATGACTATCAAGCATCCCCCTTTTATGGCTATAACTGATCATATTCTTGGATGGTTAAAAGCCATATGTTGTAACCAAGAAAGTGACATGGTAGCTTCTTTATGAAAGGTGGTTCAAGTGCAATACAGATGGTGCATCAAGAGATAAGGACCAAGCTCATATGGCTTTTGTGTGCGAGATCATGTGGGTGATTTGGGTTTTGCTAAAGCAAGTGAAATAGGAGAGGTAAACAATATAGTGGCAGAGGCAAAGGCTCTTTGTGAGGGGTTAGAATACTGTGTTAAAAGCCAATTACATCCACTGATTATAGAGACTAATTCCTTAGTGATGATGAAGATTATTGATGGGGAATGGGCAACTCCATGATATATAAGTGCTTAAGTGAGGAAGCTCAAGAAGATAAAGAACAACTACAATGTTCTCTTTCAGTATTTACTAAGGGAAGGGAACAATGTTGTAGATTTTCTTGCTAACCTAGCTTTCTCTTTTACAGGTACACTCACATTCCAATCGTTTTATGAATTGCTAATTGAGGCAAAAAACTGATCAACATGGACACATCACAAATTCCTAACCTTCAGATTAGGATTGCAAAGAGAAGAGAACTTGATTGATGATCAAAACATAAAATGCTTTGCCTCTCGTTGACTCATATTTTTGCATTCCTAATAGGCAAGACACGTATTTTAAGCCAAGTAGGCAAGACAACCACAACTCTCTTCACTTCAACACCACCAAATGCAATATGCAATCGACATTCCTAAAACAGTCACCCACCAGTTTCTTACAACTCTAGATTCTTCAACAGCATCTCATCATAAGCATACAGCTGCTGCAACCAATGACCAACAACTTGCTCTTACACTCTTAATTTACTCACATTGTTATTAGCATTGTTAGCTACCTTTGCATGTGAAATACCACATGTACTTCTTTGTAGGGTGTAGTTGATTGGTTAGTTATAGATTCCCTTCCCAAACCCCTAACGATGTATTTCAGCTAATGCTTCTTCATTGCTACTAGGCTTACATACCCTAGGCACTTCTTTGTAGGGTGTAGCAGATTGGTTGGATATAGATTCCTTTGAGCAAACCAATAACTATGTATTGGAGCTACTGCTTCTTCATTGCTATAGGGCTTACATCTACCTCATGACCTTCAATATAACAAGAAGCCTACACTCACACAGATTTGCTTTTGCTGCTATGCTTAGGGTGGTATTGCATAGTTGTGTGCTATCTCATTACTTCCCAGTGGTATTAGCATGGCTTCATTCTCATTCTGGGGGGTAGTTTGAGGACATACAAAAACAATATACAAACCTAGCAACAACCAAAGCTCTCTTACCTCACTTACAGACCAATCTTCTTCAATGCTCCCACCACAAACACCTTTCCTAACTTGTTTGCTATATTTTGCAGGTTCCTAAGACAGGTTCAGCAAACTGAGGCAATGGCATGGACTGATCTTATACAAATATATTCTACAGCTCCAATCCAACATGCCAAATATGAAGACATCCAATTTGTTACTGTTTACTGTTTGCTTGTTCATATATCAATTTCCAGTGGAATTAATTCCACAGATACACTCACATTAATGAGGTATTTATCTTCATTTGAAGTATGGAATTACTCTTATATATTCACTGGAAGTATGGAATTACTCTCATTACGTGCAATGAACAACGTAGGATAGTTTACTGACAGTATGGAGATGTGTCATTTTCCAGTGGTATTAGCATTTTTTTAACGCTCATTCTAGGTATGGTTTATCAACACATTGGAAGCAACTATTGTACTTATTCAGGCAATTGGAGATTGGATCGAAATTAGTTATTTGGTCAATTTTTACAACTACATGCAGAATTCGTGCACAGAAATATCATATATCAGTGTTCCATTCCAACAAATATTCTACAGTTTAACTTCTTCCACCATGCACTGAACATATCCAAACTGTTCTGATGTCCCTGCTATGGATTTACACAGACCTATTCATTCAGATTGCAAGACATGGCGCCTGCTTCTACTCTTATTCAAATTCGTCAAAACAATGGACTTTTCAAAGATGGAAGATTCTGTTCAGTTGATCCAGTATCAATCCACATGTAATTGATTGGTAGGAGTTGGGAATTACAGCACTGGCAACCCCCAGTACTTGTTGGTTTCTGCAGCACCAAAATTTGAACAACTGAACTATTTTGTGCATATCAATTAATGTTGGTGCGAGTTTGGTCCTTACAGTTTCTGGGATTGCTTGCGTTGTCATTTCACATATTGAGCAGATGCTATTCGTTTCACCTGCTCCAGTGCTACAGTGTGGCTACCACGACGTCAAACTCACCTATGATCTACTAAAGATTGTTGCGCAGGACTTGGTCCAGTAGAACAACTGTCTGGAGTTGTGTCATTTTCATGTCGTAGTTTCAATCAATACTACTCATTCTGGCAAGGAAGTATCAAATGCTTTTGTTCAGTATCAACACTACTGCTGAAATTCTACAGCCCCAAAGTGAAGATGTCTGAACTGCTTTGCTGTACATCTTGTGGATTTATACATACCTACTCCTTCGGATTGCAACAAATGGCGCCTGGTGAGAGCTTTATAGGTGCTACAACGAATTGTTTGCAACTGGTGTGTGAATTTCATTGTTGTCGGCAACAACAGGATGTTTCAAATTTGTAGCTTAATAACTTTCATCTATCTTTATGTTGCTGCTACATTGTATTTGGTAGCAATAGCCATTGGCTTTCTTTGTTTCATTATTTTTCTTTTACTTGAACTTGTGTAACTTTGCCCATA